AGTGGTTCTGACGTCAGAGTCTGGGCCACAGGGACAGAGCCACTTGGGCAGAACTCGAGGTTAGCTGGGCCTCTGCAGTGGGTGTGGGCCAAGCCCCTCGGGCGCAGGGAGGGCCCCAGGGCCCTGCTGCCCCTCCTGCTGCTTCCGTGGGGCTGAGGCACTACGCCTTCCTTTGGCTTGCAGCAAAAACCAGTGCCAGAGAAGGAAGGGCCTCCGTTTCTAATTTTTGCTTTTGTATATTTTTACAAATTTGTCTCCACTTTGAGAGTTTTTCTAATCACTTTCAATCGATGGTTCCTGCTCTGGCTGACTCTAGTATTCAAGGAGGTGATTATATTAGGGCATAGACTGAAGCTAACTGAAAGTCCACATTCTTGTGTATAAAACACAAACCGAACAAGCAGGGGGAAATCGTAAGCCCCAATAATCCAAATCCTTGTCTTTGTCAGTTTATTTCTTATGTTTTTTGTTCAGTTACAAAAGAAATATATGCTTATTACCGAAAAGTCAAAAGTACACAGAATACTACTACAACCATAATTCCAGCCATAATTCTGTTACCCTTCCGTTATCTCGGTATCTTATCTTTGATCAATTACAGTTGGGCTCTATGGTGAAAAGCAGACAGTCCTCCCCTATCAGGCCCACTGATCGTCCCGGGGCATCAGACCTGTGAGCTCTCTCATGCCTGCCTTCATCCTGCCCATCAAAGATCCCAGGTTTTGTGGGGCCTCCACCTTACAGGCTTTTGGAGGCCTTCTTTAAAGTAAAGAATTACAAAGTTAATATAGAAGTGAATACTTAATTCAGAATGAAAATGAGCAAATAAATCACAGCAAATACAAATTTAAGAACTGACAGATACCACACACATAAAAATAATGTTTTTACTAACTAGCTGCTTGGCATACCTCCAAGGTTTTTGTCCATGTATTTTTTGTTTTATGCCCTTTGATTGCTTCTACCTATATGACAATGAGTTTATAATTTTTCTATAGAGAAAGAAGAGAAATTCATCCTTCCTGTAACATAGTTGATCAAATTTTGTTTCTTACTACTGATGGATTAGAAAATTTTCTTTTGGCCTCACATTTAGTTTTCTGTAACAATGCGCAACTTTTAGGATTGTTGTTAAATTTGAGAAAACCTTCCTTAAATTTCTTCTATAAATAAACTCTAAGATTTGGGGGCATGTCAAGTTTTCTTCTGCACTGAATATTCATAAATAGTCTGACAACATAGGGAATTCCTAGAAGCCATTCCTACACCAGGAAGCTAGTGATTGTTTGGCTATGCACAGAAGTGAAGTGACTGGGAACCACAGAAATATATCCCATTCAACCCAAATTAAGTGTCACCTATTTTCAGCATCCACTTAGCTAAATCCCAAATTGCTTTTGGCCATTCCAGCACCACTCAATCAACATGAGAGGAAGTGTGACAAGAGAAGTCAGTGGGGTAGATAGAAACAGCAGTGTCAAGTGACTGCAGTTAAAATACCCTTCTCTTGACTGATGAAACCAGGTAATGAAGCATCCCTGAGGGAGACTAGGACTCTTTCTCCGTCTTCTGCCTAGAGCTTGATCCCTGAAAAAAAATGCCCTACTTTTTCTAATTTTACAAAAACATGACCATGTGAACACATTGCTTGGGCCCCTCTGGGGCCTTGAACTTCAGTTCCATAGCTCTGCGGCTGTCCTGCCCCAGGTGCCAGCCCTTCATTCAGGGGCTTGTTGCCTCTTGGTCTTAAGATGATGGATGCAGCCCCTGGCACAAATCCGTGAGAAAATCAGAAAGAAAGCAAAACCCGCCCCCTCTGCAGTGGCTTTCCCCAGGTTAGATGCTGGGACCTCCGCTTACTTCTTAACTGGTCAGAACTAAGTCAGAACTAAGGAGAGTATTTTTAAGTAGACACAATTTGGTGCCATCAGAATCAGAGTACTGTTGGCTAAGAAGGAGAGGGTGGATATTGGGTAGAAAGCNCAGAACTAAGGAGAGTATTTTTAAGTAGACACAATTTGGTGCCATCAGAATCAGAGTACTGTTGGCTAAGAAGGAGAGGGTGGATATTGGGTAGAAAGCTCACAGCATCAGCTTCAGTTTCCAAATGATTTTGTATGTGGATGGATGGATGGATGGATGGATGGATGGATGGATGGATGGATGGAGAGAGAGATAGAGACAGAGAGACAGAGAGAGAGATAAGTAGTATTACCTGTATTTTCTTAGAAAAATTCATACTGCTTTATAACATATCATAATTACCATAAGTGATTCACCAATACTAAAAAACTAGCAAATTGGAAATATTTTTTTTCCCTAAATTGACATGTGTTGACCATCTTTTACTACTGAATAAATTACATTCAGCTAAATCCTATGCTGTGCATTTTTTATTGTGGTTAAATCTACCACATTTTTTTAGTAGGAGAATCTGGTTTCAAACAGTCTCCATCTCTCACACAGAAGCTGGGTTCTGCTGGACAAGTACAGTGGTTGTCAGGATCCCTTTCTCCCTTTTCTCCCAACAATCCCTGAAGCATTTCTGTGGAACTCAGTGTAGGCAGCAGGTTGGTGGATTAGACACCCTTTAAGGTCTTTCCCGGTCAGAAAGACTCCTTCGCAGTTGAGGACCCAGAGCTGGGCCTGGAGATCTCCTGGGGACCACGCTGCCCACACAGCCGGTTGTGAGGTGGACAGTACACAGGCCCTGTGAAAGCAGCTGCTGAGATGCTGGGCAAGCCAAGCGCAGTGCTGGGTGCTGCATACTTAGCCCTCCGCACAAGGGACCTTTCCTCAGGCATTCTGATAACAGATCAGAGAGTTCTGGCCACCAGCCAGGCTGTTTCCTCATCTGTGACAGAGGACAAACACCATCCACCTTAAATTATTTCTTGAGCCTGTGAAGCGTTAAGGAGATGGCATAGCTGACAGGGTTTTCGTAAGGCTAAAACATTCTCAACTGTATGGTATGTTCTCTCTCCTCTGGGAAGGAATCGGGTTCGGTTTGCTTGTAAGGACAGTGGTGTGGGGGAGGTGGCGACAGAGGGCTAGCAACAGACCCAAAGAACCCACATTGGCCCTGTCCCCACTTTTCCAGTAGCTTAAGACTTAGCCTTCTTAGCCTGTGGAAAGACCCAGGTGTTCTGACTGGCACGATGTGGGGGAAAAGGCACATGAATGGTCATAAGGTACCGTTGGAAGCTGGACCGCAGGGGCCTGCCCTGGTGGTGAGGGTGGGCATGTACACTTGATCCTCCGCACAGGAGGGGCAGCGCAACAGGGAGCCGAGGAGGGAGCGGACAGTGGTACAAAGTGGTTGCAGTTCAAACTGCCTTCTTTCACAAAGTTCACAGGAGATAGAAAGGGAAATGAAACTACATTTTAGTTCTTTGGAAAGCTTAATTCTGCCCATTTTCTCCAAGAAGTTAGAGGCCTCCCACCTTCTCTTCTCCTCTTTTTCCCTTACTCCCTTCAACCTGCCCCACCCCCTGACCAATGCAGGTTCGACCCCACCTGTCCCCACTGGGCAGGTGAGACCTGCTGATTCTCTCCACAGGAAAATGGCCCTTTTTCTCTTCTCTGTACCTCAAAGACAAGATAAACCCAAGTCGCCTTTCAGCAAAAATCAAGAAATCAAAGATGTAATTCCAATATTTAATGTTTTTGTTTTTTGCTGGGGGTTGGGGGTGGTTTTGGTTTTTACTCTTTATTTTGAAATAATTACTGACTCACAAGAAGTTGAAAAGTGGAGCAGAGGTCCTGTGAACCCTTCACCCAAGCCTCTCCAGTGTACTGTCTTGTGTGACTGAGCAGCGTGCCAAACCAGGAACTGGTGTTGGGACAGTCCTCAGACTTCACTCAGATTTCATGAGCTTCACCATGGTTTCTTTCTTAAATAATTTTTCTTAACATATTATAGAAACCTTGGAAAAAAGAAGAGCAATTACTCTTTGGCTCGCCTATTCTGTGTAGCCCCATTTTAGTGCTCATTTCCTTCTATTCTTTCCGTGCACTTGCAGCATAGTGAAAGCATCATTTATGTATAGTAGGATAACCTGATTTTTAAATAAGCATTTTGATTTGTTATAACCTAGTTTTTGTTATTGTAAACAGCCATGTAATATTCCAGATGAATGTGTCCTATTTGACTTCATCATTCCCCTATTACTGGAAGGCCAGATTGTTCCATTTTTACTCTGTTATGATTTTGCAACAACTTTGTTTAATATATTCAGTATTTTGAATTCTTTCACTAGGTTTTACACCCAAGGACCTGAACATTTGTCTGACTCTTGATATAAAATGCCAAGTAGCTTCCCAAAGGAGCCGTCTCGAATTTCCATGCCCCTCTTGTGGGATCATTTCTTTGTCACTCATTTAATAATTGAAGAATGATACCTTTTTCATAAAGTTGTAGTTTTCAATTACTTGTAAAGTTGGTTGTTTTTTCTTCTATTTATTGGTGATATTTTCTATTTTCTGACTCGGCTGCTTGAATTCTTTGCCCAGTTACCTATCAAGTGTTTACTTACTGATTTGTAAGAGTTCCTTAACTCGTGAAAATTTCGATATTGTATCTGTTAAATTTGCTGCAAATTTTTCTTCCCAGTTTAATGTTTACCAGTTAATTTGGCTTCTCTTTAACATATTATATGTGGGGAAATGTTAATTTTTTATGAAACCAGATCTTTTCCCTTCTCATTTTCAAAAGTCACTCCTCTCCAAACGTGGTACTATATTCAACTGTTTCTTCTTTTTCCCATGGTTTGATTTTTTTTTATTTATACTCCTAAATGGTATAATATGCAAACCTACAGGGATTTTTTTCCCCAAAATTTCTGTTTATCTGAATAATCTGTATCCTAACACTTCCTCATTTATTTGCAAAGCCTCTTCTTATTAATCTAGATTAATTTTATCAAATGTAGCAAGTTTTATTCTAAGTCACCTCTCAAGTAGATGATTTTCCAGCCCCATATCTGCTTTCCTTCCACCAGATCATGACCAACACCGGGAAGACGAGGCGGAAGGGGCTGGCCAGTGTGCAGTGGGGCAGCAGCGAGCCCCTGCACCGGCCAGTCACGCCCAGCGGCCGCAGGACCGAGTGCCCAGTGTAAGTCGGGCTCACTTACAGGCGGGATTTATTTTCTTAAACTTCATTTTGGTTAGCTGCAGTGTAAGGTGTATGTATTTAAAAATCTAAAATAAAATGTTCATATTAAAAATCATTTATCTCTATATTATTTATCTCTTGGGGATTTTTGAAGGGAAAGAGGTTGTGTCTCTCCCTTCCTCCTGTTTCTTCCCCCAAAAAGTGACATGGCTGGGTTCCAGGATCCCCACGGCCACTTCCAGCCTTTGTCCAGGAGAAGTCACATGTTGGCCATTTGTTGGTAATTTCAAAGGAAAGGGCCAGAAGGAGTATGGGTCCAGCCAGAAAGGACTCTTGTTTTCTTTCTGCCGCCTCTCATCAGAGCACCTGTCACCTTGTTGGGTTAGAGTGTCAGAGTTTAAGAGACCAAATCAACTTATTTTTAGATGACTTTTTAAAGCAACAGTATGCAGTTTTAGCTGTCAAGTCTTATTCAGTCTTCATGGCCTTTCTTCCACCCTGTTTACATAAACAAAACTTCAGTCTGATTACCTAAAGCCTCTGTTCTCCCTGGGGACCTGGGGACCTAGACACCTGTGGGCTCTGGGGGAGCCCAGGCTGGGCAGTCCACTTGCATAGGAAGTGCCTTTTCCTGTCTAGAGCAAACGCTTGAGAGGAATAGGTGCAAACAAGGGAGTATAGAGAGCAGGTAAAAGACCTCCATTTATGCATTCATTTCAAATGAATGTGCCATACTTTATTTCATCGTCCCCTATAGCTGAGTAGTTTATTTCCAGTTTTACTATATAGCAATTCACAATGAACAAGCAGGCACCAGGGATACAACAACAAATAAAACACAGAAATACCCACAGAAATGCCAGAGCCCCCACACCCAGATCTTGCTGAGTCCTGTTGTCCATCTGCGACTTGACCTATAAATATGTCAAGGTCGATGCCATAGATAGGTACTCAGAGATCTGTTTGATTTGATTTCAAAATTAGTCACCATGTGCTTCATATTTCAAGCTTTTTATTTTTAATCACTTACATGCAAACTAATATCATGCCTTTTTCTCTGAAACATACAACCAGTATTTTTAAACCTACAGAAAAGTTGACAGTCTATTACAATGAAGGGCTTCCAGGTGTTAGAGCAGCTGCCACCTCTGTACATGCTCTCTCTATGCATAAAGTGAAATTTACACACATAAACATATTTTTACTGAACTGTTTGAAGGAACGTTGCAGACTTTCAACATGCATACCTAAGAATAAGAACATCCTGTACTTAACCACAGTATTACACCTAAGAAAGTGAAAGTTAATTTAATATTATATATATCAGTATTCCCTAATTGTCTCCAAAATGTCACTTATATCTGAGCAGTATTGTGTTTGTTTTTCTGATCCAGAATATAGCCCAAAACTATTTTTAAATTATCTTGTAAAGTTACTAAAACCCTGGCTTCACAGAGTGGCATAAGGATATTTTAATCAGAGATACAGATACTGGGACTCTAATAAATGTATGATCACCAATGGGGACAGTTCATTCTTGGGTCAGATATTCTACATTGTGGAGAGGAGGAAGAGGGCACTTTTCCATGCCTGGGGAGCTCGTGTGGCTGTCCCCTGATTTGTGGAAGTGGTCCCTCAAAGAACAAGAGCACCTCATTTTCTGGAAACTCCAACAAAGCAGTTGCCCCATCACCAGCTCCCTCCCTGGGCCAATTCAACAGATATGCATATCACTTCTGTGTGCCACATGGTGTGCTAACTGCTAGGGATGCAAAAATAAATGAGATGGAATTCCTGTCCTCAGAAGCACACAGGGTAGCTGCCCAGGCGAGGACAGTCATGTGATGTAGTAAGCAGGTGATGGGGGAGCGCAGGGGTACTGGATATGGCAGCAGGATATTAACATCCCGGATTGGCTCAGCCTCTTCTAGAAGTGTCTGTGACTCTCCTTGCACAGCCAGCGCTCTCTGATAACCCAGTGTTGCTGGGACCGTACATCAAGAATCTTGGTAATCTTGGAGACACTCTGACAATATGCATTACACAATTCAAGATCCTAGTACTTTTGGAGTCAGTAATCCCACTTCTAGGATTTTGTAGTTAGAAGTAATCAGATATTTACAGATATACATACGAGGCTATTTATTGCAGCATTATTTATAAAATGAGACATAATCTAAATGCCCAAAGTAGGAGGCTGATGACATAAGTCACATACGCACACAAAACAGTATTGAAAACTAGGTTTTAGAATATGTAATGCATAGGAAGACCCTCAGAATATATTGCCAAGTGAAAAAGCAAATTATAAAAGAGTGTGGATCTAGCCTGCTGACCACTTAGATTGATCCCAAGTTGGTTTTAAGTATACATTTATGTTTTTAAAAAGAATGAAAAGATATCAAATGTGAAGAGTGATTGTGTCTAGATAGATAATGGGAGGGCAGGAATATTCTGTAAATTTTCCCAATTTCTCCTTGTAAACATTTACCTGATTTTAAAATCAAGAAAAGGAATGTTGGAAATAAAAACTAATCGTTACCTCTGTGCAATGCAGGGTCCTCCCCACCCCAGTGTGTGCCCCCTGCTTGCCCTCAGCCGTCTTACTCCCACCCAAACCTCACCCCGGTGTGGATTCTAGACCCCCTCTCTCCCGACCAAACTCTGTTCTATCGTTTTAACACCTCCTCTGCTCCAGCTTCAACCTCCCCTCCTGCTGCCTTCTTTCCCAGGGCCTTTCAGCCTGGAGGCTCCCGGGTCTTCTGGCCTCCCCTCGCCCAGCATCCTCTCCCTTCACAGCCCCACATGGCTGGCAGCGACTTTGGCCAGGTTAATGCTGTCACAGCCACGGTGACCTTTGAATTTCTGACCCTGGAGGACACTCAGTGTCTCTCGGTTGCCATGCTGACGCCCTCCTGGTAGCGGCCCACGGCCCTGCTGGGACTCACCTGTCTTGTGTCCCACAGGCCCTCCCATCCTACTTGTTCTTTGGTTTCCATCACACACTGTGCACAGCCAAGTCTCTTAACTCCAGCCCAGACTTGCCCCTGAATGCTACATGCATCCCATAGCACCCCAATTCAGTGTTTCCTAGATGAACACCATCTTCTGAGGTCCCCTGCCTCAGCGGCTGGCATCAGAACCTCCAAAGCACCATAGCCAGAACCCCACACCGAACACCCCCTGTCCCCACAGCCCATCACACCTGCCCTCCTAACCTAACCCTTCCTCTAACTGTCCATCCCCCGGACCAGGAGAGCCCCCTACGGTTCTCCTTGTCCCCAGCCACCCTCCGCAACCGTAGACAGAATGATGTTTCTAGCACGTCATCACAGAGTGTCATTTCAGTGACATCTCTTTCCCCTAGGGATCAAATCTAGTCCTTCTCAGTTGACGCACCTCCAAGCTCCTGGTTTACCCTGCCCCACCCGGCCTTTTCTGCGGTGCCTTAAACCTTCCTGTAACACCGCAGCATAAGTATATACTTCTGTTTGCCTCTTCACCTCGCTCATGGTCCTTTCCTGCCCCTCAAGGAAATTAAGGGCTTATTTTTGCCCCTGGAACTGACATTGAAGAGCAGCCTTTTCATAGGGCCCAGCCCTAGGAAGGGTAGACACATACTTGCCATGGTGTGTCCCCCATCAAGCCCTTGTGGAGCAGGTGGCTAGTGACTCATTGAAGGAGAGCAGGTGTGCACATCTGGAGAGCCTTCCTCGGGACCTGTTGTAAGCCGACCTAGTTGCTGTCCCTCAGCCTGCTGCCTCTGAGCTCGCCAGGGTCCCTGTCTCTTGCCCCTGGCTCAGGGTCTGGCATGATGAACCACCCAATATATGCGCACTGGATGGATGAGACTTCCAGGCGTCTCCACCAACCCAGATGCCAGCGTCATGTATGCACCATTTAGAGAATAAGCTGTATTCTCAAAGCTCTTATTCCTGCACAGCTCTTGTCATGGTTGATATGACATGTCATGACTTTTCTGATTGGTGCCTTAAATTGTTTGGTAGAAATGTCATGCTCCCATGTCATCCACAGCCAAAAAATATAATTGTGCATTAGAAAGATACTAAGCCATGTATCTCTGTAAATTTGTAAGAACTACGAGGACTGAAGTAAGGGTACTTCCTAGTTTCTGCCAATACCTTTAAACGTTAAATATCTTCTAATGTCAGCTTAACAAAAGGATTTCAGGGACTTCTGCTTCCTGTATTTGTGATGCTACACAATAGTCAGCAGTCAGGTATCTCTTGGCTATCTGTATTTATTGCTGTTTTTCATTTTTCCTCCAGTCTGGAAGAGCATCGCATTTCTCCCCAGATGGCTCAAAATGCCAGAAACAGCTGCCTGCCACCCCTGCCCAGTGCCCACCTTCCAGTCTACAAGGAGGGCGAGCACCGTGACTCTGAGCCCTGTGTTTCCTCTTCGTGTAAGGGCATTGGCAGCATGCGGGGGGTCGACTTGGGACTCATGAGGCCTAGAATCTAATGCAGCAGCAGCAGTGGCGATCTGGAAAGGCCTCGGGCCTGTTCGTGGGGAGCCCTCTGACCTCAGCTTCTGCCCTGCCTCATACGGGCTCCCGGGCCTGCAGTCCCATGGCCAGACCGGACCGTGGGCTGCTCCAAAGCCCCTTCTCTCTGAGCACCGAGCCCACTGCTCAACATCTGCAAGCAATGTGGGCAATCAGCCGTGTTTGGTGTGAGATTTCAGAGTAGGAATCTCAGAACAATGTGGAGCTCTGACCAAGGCTTTGTCACCTCACGCTCTGCTGCTGAGACGACCAGCAGTGGGTTGGAAGGCTGGAATGAGTCACAAATGTGTGACTAGGAACAAAAACTGCTGTGGGACTCAAAAACACATTTTGAAGCATCTAGTTGGGTTCACCAAAGGCTGATGGGGATGAAAGTATTTTTTAGATGCCAGAAAAAATATATATGCTTGAATAAGAAATGTACAAAGTGTATTTTTTTAATTTTCTAGAGGAAATTAAAAGGATATGAGCAGGCCAGATAAGACTTTAATCTCCATTCAAATAGGAAAAACAGCAGAGGAACAGGTCAGATTCCAGTAGGAGAAACATCTGAGAACCTTTATAATCTGCTCACAATCGGATTCAAATGCTTCAGAGCCCCGGCGGGGGCCGCAGGCTGGTCCTGGAGCCAGAAGAAAGCCACATTACCCGGGGCCTGAGAGAGGCTGTCTTGATTCTGAGCCGTTCTAAAGGTTTTACTAACTTGATCATCTGTTATTTTTTATGTTTTCTTAATGCTGTAAACATTAATATGCCTTCACTAAACTGTGATGAGCTCAATAATTTATCCAGAGATCTCTGTTGCCAGGGCTTAAGTTTTAGGTGGTCTAGCAATTTTTGCCAGTTTAAACTAATGCATTTGAGTTAAAAATGATTTCCAGTTCTGTAGGCCTGGACTTTCAAAGAGTTGCCTTTAGGGTGACATGTATCAGTGACATCCTTGTTTGATCACAGTGACCCCCAGGGTGGCGCTCTGTCTTGCACTGATTCCAAGTGTGGTCCTCTCTTTTGGGAGGTGGGAGGTACCTGTAGGGCGGTGGCATTTGAGAAATGGCTGATGTTGCTAGCAATGTTGATGTATTTGTTATTCTCAAGAACAATTGATTTTAGTCCCAACGAAGTCCAGGTCCTAACAAATTCCGGCTCTCTGCATGGTAACAGTGGGCACCCACCAGGGGACTCAGCCTTAGCAACTATCAGCAGCCCCTGGTGCCTGATAGATCCCTGGGCAGAAAGCGGTGGCTCCCCAGCCCCTCCAGGCGGGCCACCTGGAGCCAGGCACCTGCTCATCCCAGTCATGCTGCCAGTGCACCCCACGAGCCTGCGCTGAGTGCTGCAGCAGTACGTGTCCCCTGCCTCTCCCTTCTTCCATTTGCTCAGGCCTGCCTGGGACTCAGGACTCCCACCTGCCCATCAACTGCCCCCCTGCCTTGGCGGGCTCCAGAATGCTAACCCCAGGTCTGTCCTCACACCACGTGCAGACACCGGGCTTCTTAACATCTCTCTCCTTGCCTGGTCAGGCTGCTTTCAGCCCCAGGTCAGCACCCTTAGTTCTCCTTTAAAATCCTTTTACTTGACAAAAGTTCTCCACTTGGAGAATCCGAGGCTCCTGGTAGCAGCTGTCCCTGGGTGTTTAGTGAGTGTGGATTCCATTTCTGGTGTCTGTGCTGTTGTTCCTTTGGCACTCTTTCAGGCTTGCCTAGCCGCAGCCGCCAAGGACTGATGTCCCAGACCAGTGTCAGCTCCCCAGGCAGGTGTCCCCACCGCCACCTCCCCCAGCCTCCCCCAGCCTCTCCATGGGGATGGATGCCAAAGAGACTTCGGCTCGTGCACTCGGAACGCTCCCTTGATGCTGGTTCTGAGTCTACGTCTGGGCCCAGCAGATAAAAGTGCCCGGGCTGATGAGCCAGGGGAGGATGAGGGCAGTGAGGGACTGGTGGCCTTCCCGACGCTCATCTTCCGATCCCTTCCCCATCAGCGCCTGATCAGACCGACGTCCTCCTGACCCTTCTGCCCGCACAGCCCTGCTCCTCTAGCCCTCACTTCCACTCTGTGCTCTTGCTCACCTTGACCCCCATCTCAGTCTGGCCTTGCCTAGCTCCCCATGGACCCCCACACGTAACTAGCTACTAAGTCTGGCCTCCCAGGCTTCACCATGCTGGGAATAATGCCCCACCGAGACCTGGTGGGGACCCACCACCACAGCCTACACATCGAGTGTGTTCAGGCAGCCCCTTCACACCTGTGAATAAAATCAACACTCAAGGTGAAGCTCATGGTGAGGAGTCTGCAGGATCCTCAAACTCCCTGATCAGTTGAATGCAGAGCCACAGAATAGATTGTATTTTTAGGCAAAGGACTCAGCCCCACAGAACAAAAGGAAATAGTTCCCCAAGGGTAAAACGCCAAGAATGCAACTTAGAATTTTGCAAGACAAAACTGGCCTGAGGAAAGTTGTTCTCATTTCCCCATCCACCAAGACAATCTTGGATACCAAGTCATATGCCTCGTCCATGGACCCGGGAGTTAAAATGACCGGCCCTGTCTGAAGTAGATCAACAGATAGGAAAACAGTACTTTGTCTCAGGAAACCTCGGGTGAACGTATGCCCTGCCCGGCCTCCCAGGTCCCGGCCCTTTAAATGGGCCTGCTCTGCTGTGGTGCGTGGCCCACAGTGGCGGGAGTGGGAAGGGAGGGAGGGGGCCACTGCTATTTGGTGACAGAACCAAGACCTCCGAAGGTCCAGGGAGAGCTCAACATAGTTCCTTCTCCTCCTGCCTGGGGGCTTTCCCACCCTTCCCAACCCCCACCTGCCCAGAAAGCCCCTGACCCTGGAGGGCTGCCTGCCCTGGCCGCCATCTTCGTAGTCCCATTACCGGTAGTAGGGTTTTCCCTGTGTGCAGCCAGCTTGTGCGTTCATTTCTTACACCTTTTTGTCTCCTGGGCCTTAATTATAAGCCCACTGAATAGAGAGTCCAGACAGGTTGGCCATTTGTCCATTGAATGGATCACAGGAGGCTGAAAGTCTAGTCCCAGTCCCTAAGTGGACACTGTCCAGTGAGGGCTCCAATAATGCTACCCACTGGGTCCATACCAGAGGCAGATTCCTTGCTTGGGTCAAAAGACAGTTTTCTGAAACTCAAAGCTGTGCCCTTTGCTATGGGTTTGAGGAAACCTGCAGGGAAGAGTCTTCATATTTGACAGAGCAGAAGCCACATTGCAAAGGTACTAGCGAGGTTTTAAATGAAAAAGCTGGAAGGAGCTTGGATTACAGAAGCAGCGAATCCAGACTTGGTCACAGTACTTCTCCGACAGTGACGTGAATCCCTTTGGCTATAGAATAAGAACCACAGATCCTCAGCCATGGTATCAGCCAGAGCACTGCCCGCTGAGAATTAGGACAGTTTCTCTCCCTGGGGGTGGACAGGGGGCTTCATGCCTGAGGAGTTTGGGCAGCTCAGGGTGAAGAAAGCTCCACCTCTGGGGTTGCTGGATTTGGCAAATAGAAATACAGGACACCCAGTTGGGTTTGAATTCCAGACAAACAGTGAATAATTTTTCAGTGTGCCTCTGTGCTCCTGTGCTGTGGGTGTCACGCAGTGGCCCAGGGAGACAATTCCAAGTTTTGTTGGCTTTTCCCTGAGAGGCAGAGGGGGCCGGAGAGGCCACAGGGCCGATGGTCTGCGTGTGTGTGCGTGCATGCGTGTGTATGTTCCCCCATGGTGCTGTGTATGTTCCAGCTATGGTGCAGCTGCATTCCCAGGTTATAAGTACCTCAAGTAACACCTGGAAAGTTCCCCAGCTGCACAAGTACGGAAGTCCTCACCCAGAGGCCCCAGGGGCCTTTGGGGCATGGCCTGGAGTGTGTACCCCAACCCAGCAAAGAGCACCCTCAAAGAGGTTCCAGAATGGAAGTTGCCTGAGTGCCCTCTCCTTCTCCCCAGCTGCTGTGGATGCAATGCCAGGAGAGTGGCTGCTGGCAGGACATCAGGGAGAGCTGCGCCGGCCCCCCACAGGGGCCCCCAGCTTGCCAAGGGAGGGGCCCAGGGCCCTGGGCAGTGGAGACACCGCCAGGTAGGATGGGGGGCCGTCCTGGGGAGGCTCCTTGAGGCCCAGCCTCTGACTGTGGAAGCGGAGGAGCGTTCTGCTGGGGCCAGCAGTATGGCACTCAGGTACCCGTGGGCGTGTGGCCAGCATGCCTGGTAACCTCGGAGCCCAAGGGGAGGGGACCTGCCACCGGAGAATTACTGGTTGTCAGACTAGAAGGAGAGAAAACTTGCAAATATTCCCAAGGGACTAGTTTTGAGAACTACGTAAACATGTTTGGGGCATGATTTGGGGTAACTTGAGGGCAGTGTCCTGTCTCCACTGTTTGCTTTCGGACATGAGTGAAGGGGAGGGAGATGGAGAAGGAGTTGGGGCCAGTGAAGTGGTTTGGTCGAGGTCAGATTCCTAAACACAAACTTGATGACCAGGCAGAGACCCCCACACGTCTCCTCTGCACAAATGAGCACAGCTGATGGGTCACCCTCAACGGGTCACTCAGGAGTCCTCAGAATCCAGAAAGGGCCGTTTCTGTGATCTCACAGGCAGCTTCTTTCAGCTCTGAGAGGACCTGATGAGGGAGAGGGTCAGGCCCTGGTCCAAGATCCCTCCTGTGCCTGACTGCCAGGTACCCCAAGCTGCCTCCTGTTTCCTGCTGGCCCTGCAGTGCCCTTCAGCCTGAGTCATTTCAAGATGCAGAAGCCAAACCTCCTGCACTGACTCTGGACTTGAGCCACATTTTAACATGGCTACACATTTGGAGTCTCTGAGTTAGAGGAGTTTTGCTATGGTGACTGGTCAGGCCCTCTGTGCCCTGACGTCTGTGCTGACTTTGGCCAGATCAGCAGCTCCTTCAGCAGCAGGGCCTTGGGAAGCTGGGTGAGACAGTGGAAGGGCCATGTGCCAGGCTCCAAGGCAGATGTCACCCTCTCATGGCATAGAGGGGTCTGAGAAACCAGCCCGCTGGCGTTCCCCTTACTCAGGCCTTACTGCCCTTCCCTTGGGCTCCCACAGATGGAAGCCACAGAACAGGAGTTCCTGCTGAGCTCTAGAGGCCACAGGGACGTCTGGAGCTGCCGCCACCACCAAGGACAGGCAGAAGGCCTAGCAGAGCCTGCTCCCACTGGCGGGGAGAGGCAGAGGAAGGGGCGGCAGGAGTGGCACTGCAGCCCACCCCCAACACCACAGGTGGCCCTGTGCCTACTGCTCACAGCGACGGGGTGGGCCTGCAGCCAACAGGCACCGGAGCTTCTGGGGGCTGAGCCAGGGGGACGCTGGAGCATGGACTGCAGTAGGGAGGCCAGTCCTGAGATCTCTACAAGACGGCAGGTGCAGAAGATGGCAGGGTGGGTCAGAGGCTGGTGGCAGTGTTGGG